ATTATTTGTTTACGATTTTTATTACTTTTTTATGATTTTATTATTAATTAAAACATTTCTATTTGTGGAATTTAAAAAATGTAGTCATATTTGTGTAATTTTGCCCCTTTTTAGTCCTATTTAGGGAATTGAGTCTAAAAATAATGTCAAATTTCAAAATATGAAAGTCACTTTTTTTTCTTTTTTGAAAGAGACCGGAGTAATTATATATTGCCGAAAAGGTAATCTTCCTTGACAAGAGTAAAACATAAACACATTTTTCTTAAATGGGGTCCACCTCTAATCTTACCTAAATGGGATTAAACATTAATTTTCTACACCTAATAACCCTAATCTTATTATTTAATATAATTAATTTCCCCATTAGTTCCTGGAATAATCGGGTCAGACTATTGATGTCAGAACAGTCCACTGGTGGTGGCGGGGGCAACCAGCAGCGGCAAAAATCTAGAATGTGTTTTTACGGCATTGTAGCTCCGCCGAGTCGCCGACGAGTAGTCGATTGACAGAGGAAACTTGGCATGCCAGCGGCGGTAATGTAGCAGTGGCAAAGCTAATGCCTTTGTATGAGTATTCTTGTCCAATCACAAATTCCTACTATGAGAATTTTAAATAACTACTCCTATTTTACCTTTTATCATATTTTACTGCTATTTAAAAAAAAAACATATTTTACTGGATGCTATTAGAGGAATGATATGATCTCTTACTAAAATGTTGTTAACTATGATATTAATAATATCAAATTAATGTTTGATAATATCAAAATATGGTAGTATGATATTAGGATGACAATAATTAAATTCTATTAAAGAAAAAATATAATACCTACATCGAAATTTTGCATTATTTTTATTTCTACTTTGGAAAACTTCCCAGCCCATTTAAAGTGATTTTTCCACTTAATTATTTTAATGACAAAAATTCATACTCGTATGTAATTTAGTAAACTATTTCGTCATTTAAAAAAATTTTACCGTCATGGATGACCCATTGTAAGTTCTTTTTCCATTCCGTAATTCATGTATGTTTCTCTTTAATCATTCAAATAGAGAAAATATTCAAAGTTTCACACCATATGCTTTGAAAAATGTATAGAAGTAGAATACAACATTTGAATCTATTTGAAATGGGATAGTCTCTAGAACAAATTACGCCAACCGCAAATGTTTTCAACATTGTTTATTACTCCGTATTATCAAAAAATTTACCTCCATGCGTTTCAGCAACTTTTCGGTGGCCTATTTTGAACTTCGTAGTTGAAGGTCTTTTTTTTATTTTAAGAAATTATTATTATTACACTTAAATGATAACTTAATTATCAATGATTAAAAATAATTCATTTATAACGTCACAGTTCAACGATAATCTAATTATATTTTATATCCATAAATTTTTTACTTAGTATATACTTAAATAAATTTATTGAATTACTACTATCTCATTAATTAAAATCATATAAGTCGTTCATCTTATTGTTTAATTAATTAAAATCAAACAATCACAAAACCCCCTGATGGATAATGTACCCGGGGTAGCTTATCCGAAGGGTTATTGCGGGGAATAACCTAGAGAGAAGTCAGAGCAAGCAATTAAGAGAGAGAGTCAAATATTATAAGGGGAAAGGGGTTGCTATTTATAGCACCCATAAATGCTAAGCGTGGACACGTGTTGCTAATCTAACGGCCGAGGTTCACCTCAATCGGGGTGACACCGGCATTTGCATGTGCACCACATTAAATGCGGTGGTTGGACGTGACGCCGCATTGAATGCGGTGGTTGTCTGTCCCCAAAGTGAATCTTCGCTGAGTGTTATGTAGCAGAAGGCCTATCATGTGGCCGAAGGCTCTGTGTGGCCGAAGGCTACCCATGTGCCGAGGGCGCCTAGGAGCCGAGGGCGCCTAGAAGCCGAGGGCGCCTAGAAGCCGAGGGCGCCTAGAAGCCGAAGGCTCCTATTTTCTACCTTTTTCTCCCAGTAGCTTTGTATGCTCAAATCTGACTGCCCTATGGAATTTGGAGCCCTCAGCTATAGGGCCGAAGGCACCTATATGTGCATCATGGGCTTCTTCGTATTTGGGCCGCTGTGTTTGGGCTCTGTGCGCTCATTGGGCTTGATGGGCCTGTGTAGGAGAAGTAGGAGTCAATGGGCCGGGGGAACTTGGGCCATATACTCCATCAGGAGTCCCCCACTCCTTTTGTCGAAAGTACTTGAGGGAAAAGAAGTAATTGTGGTGGTTCTGCCGAAGGCGCTTTCGTTTGTGGGAGATTCCTTCCACTGACCGCTAGATCTAGAGCTATCGTTGGATGAATATCCGGTAGATAGTTCTTCCGAGTCAGTACTTGAAAATTTACTTTTCAACCGCTCAAGAGTTTGTTCTATTTCCGGGTTTGCTTGGTAGGTGATTTTGTTTATGGAACGGATTTTAACCATATACTTGCAAAGCTCAAAAAATAGAAAAGTAAGAACTTTTTATATTTTGTTTATTTATTATTATTATTTTCTAGAAATAAAATAAAAAGAAAAATAATTGCATTTTCCCGGCAACGGTGCCAAATTTGACGAGCACTTTTTTGCGTTGTGCACTCAAAATAAATATCAATACAACGATTATACGTAGTATAACGAAGTAAGGTTCGTATCCACACGGAAAGGAATACTTCTCTTTTTAATTAAATAGTAACAATGGAGGTTTTAGATTGGTTGATGAACTTTAAAGTATTTAAACACTAAGTTGAACGAATTATGTGGTTTAATTAATTAGAGATGAAGATTTGGCTTTGCTTTTATCCACTTAATGAAATGTTCGTCGATCCCGTTATATTTTTAACTATCTTCCTCTCGAATACTCAATCGAGGAGTATCTCCAATTCATCGAGGGTAGTTATTAATAACGAGACGCGTTCATTAATAAAACTTACTACCGAGTAAATATTGAACACACGCCGTGTATTAAGCCGATAGTAGCAATATACTTAAGATGAAAACGATTGAGATTGATAACCTCAACACAAGCGGTTTATTGGTTTAATCAATATAATTAATTCCCCTTAGATTATTAACCATAAGACGCATGCATTAATAATCCAAGTTTACTACCGTGAAAAGACTGAACGATTAACAAGCATATTCGTCGATCGTTTCTAGTAATAATTAATATATGAAACAAAACTAGTTGATCCTTTAAGTAATGTTCACAATATTAATATGAAATATGAATAGGAATTAATTAATATTCAGGGAATAAGATTAAAGAAAATAACTCACAACTTACAATTCATTAACCTTTAAAGTAGCAAAACCAAGATGAAAGGGTTTAGCTCCTCATTTGGAGACTAAACATGATAAAAATATAAAGAATGTACTTAATAACTAGACTGAGCTTAGAAGTGTATAGGAATTAGTGAATTTAATGTGAAGGAAAAGGGGTGTATTTATAGGAAAATGGAGGTGGCAGGGTCCTTTACCCGACCGGGTATTTAGCGTACCTGATCGGGTATCCAGCAGCTTCCAGGAAGTTAAAAAAATCAACTCATACCCGATCGGGTGTGTCGGTCTACCCGATCGGGTATGAGACCAAATCTTTAATTTATTTTATGCCACGATCCTTAGTTTCCCGGATTCAATTTTGACATGCAAATCCGGTCAATACCCGATCGGGTATTGCATATACCCGACCGGGTATATGAACATTTTTCCATATTCTTGTTTGATCTTGTTCCTTTGCACATCTTTTGGTCATTGGGATCCATTCATTGATCCTTTGAGTGCATTTGACATGTCGTATGCTCAGAATAATCCTAATCTAAATAATTTACACAAATTTAAATAAATTAAAACATTACACCAAAAGTGTGTAATTTCCAAACCAACGAATCACAAAACTAATTAAAAACGTACACATACAATCGGAAATTACACGAATATCAATACCCGTCCGCCTGCCATCGACCACCGTCCACTTGTCCAGTGATCAATGTCTACTTGTTCCACCACCACCCCATCTCATCTGGTGACCGATGTCGACACACTATCCAGCCACCCTGTAGATCCCCAAACACTCCCTTCGCCACCGTACAAGCCTCACCCCTCAAAGCCTTCCCCGTGCTTACTAGCCGGTGTTGGACAAATTAATTTAGAGGGCATTATTATTATTGTTTGCAGGGAAATCTCACTTTTATCCACTCAAACAATATGCATATTGAAATATAATGTAGGATCCCGTGTTTTCAAAGTCTGGCATGGAAGAGCTTGTGCCGGTCACTTTTGGGGAATTTATAAAAGTGGTCATATTTTTTTCCCAGAGAATTTGATTGAAATAGATCAGAGTTTATTATGCCTAAAGACACCGGATGCATAAGTATGATCTATTTACTCTATTCTACTTGATGCATCGGTGCAGAAACAGACACTATTACTACGTATAAAATACTTCAGCATAATAAACTACAATTACAAACATCCCAGAAATATGATTTCTATCGGTGATGTACTTCTTTGAAATACATTATTGTCATTAGTAAAAGTAATTTGGAGAAGTGCAAAAAGAGCTTATTTTTAAATAATAAAAAAGCAACAGAATAAGAATTGTGTGCATGTATTTAAAAGAGATTTAACCAAAGAATCTAATAATCGAACTATCTATCTTATTCTAACTGGCTGTTAGCTTTTCGTTTTAACTTTTAATTAATTAGTGTTATGTTTTTATTCATCTTGTTTTTCATTTTCAAACAAAGCTTTAAGCTTGTGTAAGCACTTCTAAAGTATAAATCTAGAAAACTGTAAAAAGATACATTGTGGGTGTGTAAAAACCAACCAAAGTGATCAATTATTATCCTAATTGTGTTGAATTGTAAGTTCTCTAATACACACAATAATGACAGAAAAATAGGCTAAGTGTTACTCTATAAATTTTAAAATGCATCCCAGTACTTAAACCTCTCATATTAGAATACCTAATTTTGAAGAAGGCCTACAAAATAGTGTATTAGCATACATGAGTGTTAACTTGAATTTATCAAATTCCATTAACGGCAGAGCTACAACACTTTTAAACAACCACAATATGTAGGGGCAAACAACTTTCACCCAAATATCGTGTAATTGTGTAAAGACATGTCTACAAAAACACAATAAAAAATTGCAGAAATAGGTACAACCCTTACTGGAAGAAGCCCGACGAGTAACCGGAGAAAAAGTCTGCAACTCGATGAGTAGCCGGAGAGTAACCCTTTGATTGAAGAAAGATGAAGAGGAAATGAATATCATGGTGACAATGGAAACGAAAGACTGAATCTGACTTTGTCGACACCATCATCTCGTCTTCCACAACAACAACAGAAAAAACAAGAGATGAAAGGTGATATTTACGAGGAGAGAGAGGTAGGGTTTGTGAGATTTTCCAAAATTGAAGAATAGTATAAGAGGGGGAGGAGTTGTCATGGAAGGGGAGGGTAAAGGTTGTAGGGAGAGAAATAGGTGAAGGGGAAAGAGGGGGAATTGAATGGTAAAATGAAAATGTTAAAAAAAAACTATACAAATTGTATACAAAACGTGTATTAGTTGTGTACATGAAGCATTTTTATTGTCTAAGGGGTGTCCCCAATATGAACTCCGGATGATTTTAATGGAATTTAGAATTCCGTCAGAATTCAGTATCCCCGGTTTGGATTTATGTGAAATTCATGAAAATAATGATTTTCTCAAACATTTTATGAATTTCTATTGTTACTTATTTTGAATGCATGTTTATGGATTTTGATGGATTTCTACATACAAAAACATTCCACTACAAATTTGTAGAATCCCTCAAATTTCAAAACATATGATCTTTGAAAATTCATTCAAGACCTAATTGGGACACACTCTAAGAATGTTTTCAGTCCCTGACCAAATCAGATCAGATCAGACCAGACTTTCATAGTTATAAAATACACCGAGACCATACGTTTATCACATAAGACCAATTTGAAAATCTAGTCCAAAAGAAAACGTCCTAAAACACTCTTTTAAAGTGTTGGTTTATTTGTCTTTTGCTGGATTTAAAAAATACTACGTATGGAGTATGGAAATTGGATACCAACTAATCAAGGGAGATGGCGATAATCAGCAATTATTCTGAGAGCCACCTAATTCCAAACCATTTGCACAATGGGCTCCTCCATTTTCTCACTGGTCCTCCTCACTGTCTTCCTCCTCTTCGTCTCCGCCTTCTCCCTCCGCCCCTCTTTACCAGCAGAAAAATCGGCTACTCCACCCATCGTTGTTGCCGCCTGCAAGGCCTCGCGTGACCCAGCATCATGCCAGCTCGCATTGAACCAGTCTCGTCACGTGTCTCCCGGCACAACTGCTCTCCAGCTCATCCAGTCCCTACTGAATCTCACTTTCCAGAATCTGGACACCGCCGAATCGCAGATGAAGCATATCCTTTCCGGATCTACTGGGAATCTCAACCGTACGATGGCCGCTAATAACTCCCTCGAGGCAATCGGTTACTCTCGGTACCGGGTCGGGTTGACTGACCAACACGGGCTTGCAGGTGATAGGTTGAAGGACGGCCGTGCCTGGCTGAGCGCCGCCTTATCCTACCAGTACGGTGCCCGTTCCGACTTGAGAAACGTCAACGACACTGCCGATGTGATTGCTGCTATGGAGTTTATGAATGACACCTTAATCGCGACGACCAGCACCGCCCTGAGCATGCTCGCGAATTACGACCTCCACGGTGAGAATACCAGCTTGTGGGGCCCTCCAGTGACGGAACGCGACGGCTATTGGGAGCCGGCTGGCGGGTCATGGTCGGAATTCGAAGGCGGCGTGCCAAAGGAACTGCCTCCGAACGCGACGGTGTGTAATTCCGGTGGCTGCGACTACGAGACGGTGCAGGAAGCGGTGGATGCTGCGCCAGAATCTAAGCCGGCCGAGAGGTTCGTGATTTGGATTAAAGGCGGTGTTTACAAAGAGACGGTCCGGATTTCTCTGTACAGGTATAACGTCGTATTACTGGGAGACGGCATTGGCAAAACTGTAATTACGGGCTCCCTAAATGTGGGTCAACCCGGAATGACTACGTCCGAGTCCGCCACCGTCGGTGTTCTTGGAGACGGATTCATGGCGAGCAACATCACATTCGAGAACACCGGAGTTGGGGCTCAGGCAGTAGCCTTCCTATCCGACGGCGACCACACCCTCATGGAAACCTGCGAATTCAAAGGAAACCAAGATACCCTTTATGCTAAATCCCTGCGGCATTACTACAAATCGTGCCGCATCCAGGGCAATGTGGACTTCATTTTCGGCAATGCCGCTGCATTCTTCCAGGACTGTGAGATCCTGGTCGTGCCGAGGCCATTCCAGCCGGAGAAAGGGGAGAAAAACGCCGTCACGGCCCACGGGAGGAATGACCCGGCCCAGACAACGGGTTTCGTCTTCCACAATTGCTCCATCAACGGCACAGAGGAATACATGAAGTTGTACCATAGCAACAGCAAGGTGCACATTACTTACCTGGGACGGCCATGGAAGGAGTATTCGAGGACAGTCTTTATAGGGTCCAGCTTTGAGGTGATCATTTCCAAGGATGGGTGGTCTCCTTGGCAGGGCGATTTCGCCCTTAGCACGCTTTACTACGGAGAATTCGAGAATACTGGAGCCGGAGGTAACACGGCTGGGCGTGTGAGTTGGAGTAGCACTATTCCACCGGAGCATCTTAACTCTTACTCTGTTCACAATTTCATCCAAGGTGATGGATGGATTCCTGTTTCAGATAATGCCTTGTAAGTTTTGAAGATTATTACTGTAATTTGTGAGGAATCAGGGCAAATCTACTTAGTACTTACAATAGCAATGTCTTGTTGTCTTGTACAGTTTTATATGCAGGAACATTCCAAATTGCATTTCAAACACCAAGTATGCTACAGGATCCGGATTATTGATATTTTTTGTACTAATGATTTGGATATTGTAACTCTTTGGACATTTTTATTTAATTTTTTAAAAGTACATCATGTTCCTTATATTACCATAAAATTAAATCAATGAACCTGCCCTAGTCAATATCCTCTAATTTCCCTCTCCTCTTCATCTTCTCTTATTTACTGCTGTATGTTAAGCATTGAGGAAACAGTTAACCAAACCAATTCTTTCTGAAATCAAAGAATGCATTGGAGATAAAATCTCATTAACACTTTTAAAATTGTGTGATGTGTCACAATTATACTGGTCAAAAGAAGTCAACAAAAAAAGCATTGGAGATGCTCTAATATGAGTAGATACTTTTATCTAAACGTTCATTTCAGCCTTTTATGAGTCGCATAAAAACACTTTTTTAGTATTTGCAAACACTCTAAAAGCAAAGTTGCACTGTTGCACCTCTCCGTTTAGTCATACCCAAAGGGCCAAAGTACCCATGGCATTCATGAACACATTAGTTGGTGCTATGGGTGGACTCGGTTCGGGCCGGGCCTTGAACCGGCCGGGCCTCGGTTCACCAAAAGGAGGGCCCGGACCCGAACCGGTGGCTCCCGGTTCCGGGCCAGACCAGGCCGGTTCCGGGCCGGTTCCGGGCCGGGCCACCCGGGTCATAATTTTTTTTTTTGCTTCTCTTATTTAACCCCCTATCCCTCCCCCTCAACCCACAAACCACCTCAAATGGCCCAAAATACCTAATCCAACCCAAAACTTAAAAAAATTAAAAAAAAAAAAAACCGGCCCGGACCGGGCCCGAACCGGCCGGGCCGGTTCACCAAATGGAGGGCCCGGGCCCGGAATCGGTATCCATTGGGCCGGTTCGACCCTAACCGCCGTTGGACCGGGCCATCGGGCCGGGCCGGTTGCTATAGTGGGCGACTGGGCGGGCCGGGCCAGTTCCGGGTCGGGCCGCCCGGCTCGAGTCCATCCCTAGTTGGTGCCCATGAGCTGATGAGCTAAGTATTGCCCATTCAAAAAGGGTTGCAACCACATTGCATTTGGCAACAACTAGAAGAGGTTATGTCCATTTCATTATTTGGAGCTAGGGGTGGACTCGGGCCTGGGTTTGGGAAAGGGGAGGCCCGGAACCGGCCCAGGTAACCCCCGGGTCCGGTTCGGGCCGGGCAGGGTTGGGCCTCGATTCAATTTTTTTTTTGCCTTTTCCTAATTAACCCCTACCCCCTCACCCCCAAACCATCTCAAATGACCCAAAATACCCAACCCAATCCAAAAACTTTAAAAAAATTAAAAAAGAAAAGAAAAAAAATAAAATGGCCCGGACCGGGCCCGAACCGGCCGGGCCGGTTCACGTTTTGAGGGGCCCGACCCCGGACCGGAACTCCAGCGGGTCGGGCCTACCCGAACCGGTCACTGACCGGGCCACCATGCCGGGTCGGGCCGGAGCAGTGCCGGTTCGGGCCGGTTCCGGGTCGGGCCACCCGGCCCGAGTCCACCCGTATTTGGATCTATGTATTCCTCACTGGCTAATGTCTACCCATACACTTGCTCCTTCCCGTGAAAATGAGGCCTCCGTATATATTCTCGTCCTCGCCACGAGCAGATGTCAATGAGACTGACATTCGTGTAATTTCCATATTTAAATTTGTGCTTTTAATTAGTTTCGAGTGATTGTTACTTTGGAAATTACACACTTTTGGTGTAAATAGTTTAGTTTGTAAAATATTTGTAATATGTTTAGATTAGGTTTATTCTGAGCTCAAACAGGTCCAAATACACTTTGGAGAACATCACCAGTACAAGGAAGGTGCAAGAATGCAAGAAAAAGATTGAAGATCTCGTTTTTGGTCTGTACCCGATCGGGTATGACCTATACCCGGTCGGGTACCCTTCTGAAATTTCGAATCAAATCAAATCCGGGAACAAGGCATCATGCGGGAAGATTTTAACACGTTCGGGTGTCCATACCCGATCGGGTGACCGACAGACCCGATCGGGTATGACCCCATTTTTCAGCTTCGCCGAAGCCACATATGGTACCCGATCGAGTGGGCTGAAAACCCGATCGGGTACACGACCCTGCAAGCCTAAAAAGCCTATAAATACACCCCATTTCCTCCACAAGAAGATCACCAATTCACATATACTTCTTAGCTCAGTTTAGACAAGTTCTTTCTTTATATTTTTCATCATGTTTAGTCTCCAAATGAGGAGCTAAACCCTTCCATCTTGGTTTTGCTACTTTGAAGCTTAATGAATTTGTAAGTTGTGAGTTATTATCTTTAATCTTCTTCCTTGAATATTAATTCTTTCTTTAAATACTATTTCTATATCAATGTTGGGGAGTGTTACTAAGATGACAATTAGTTAACATCTTGACATTAGTTATAGTAATAGTTATTTCTTCCTCTACGTTAATATCGGGGAGTGTTACTAAGATGACTGATGTGAGTTTTCTCGCACTTAAAATGGTTGTAGAAAAGTGGTTGAAAGTACGAGTATCGTCTCCACAGGGACGGACAAAAGGGAAATAAGGATTAAATAAATTCAGCGATTAAAAAGAAAATAAAATAAAAGCGTCGTGCGAGATTGGTTGGTTTGGAAAAAAAAAATTAAACTAATGCGAATGAACGATTAAAATAAAAGTGGTTTCTTCTCAATTAACGACGAAGGGAACAGGGATTGATTCCGGGGTAACCAGATTTCTGGCAGATCAGGCCTAATTACATGAATTTAATTTAATTGAGCCTAGCTAATCATTACTAAGTTCTTACCGCTCTCGCGGCGTAGAGTACAATAATTTAGGGGACCAGGCTGATCTCTCATGCGACAGGATCCTAAATTATTGCCAAGACGAGCGAGCTTACGGCCCCTTAATCGCTACTAATCTTTTAGCGAACGATTAAGTGTGTGTG